ATTATATTATTATTTTATTAATAAATATTTAAGTTATATTAATTAATATTTCATAATAAATAAATATATATATATATATAAAAATCTGTCACCTTTCTTGTTCTTAATCAACCTAAGATATTTAAGGAATGCGCCAACTTCAGTTAAGAAATATGAAAAAGAAGGCTGCGAGTGGAAGATCTTAAAGGGTTAAACGAGATGAGCCGCTGTGACGTCACGCCGGAGCGCTCGCGCCGTCTCGGGACTCCGGTGTGATGCGGCGGAGCGGGTCCCGGTAAACATGAAGCGTTCCGCGGATTCGCGCTGATCCGACCCGGAGGATAACGGAGGAAACCGTCGGGAACGGACGCGTAAGTTCGCTTTCCATTCGTTTCTTCATGCGGTCACATGGTGACTCTGGTGGGTTATTTACCGAGACCGTTGAGATTTACGCTCATGCGAAGTTTCAAAGAGAGTTTTGTATTGACAGATCGCGCGAAGAGTTAAAGACACGTACAGATAAGAAGGCTGCGAGTGGAAGATCTTATAGGGTTAAACGAGATGAGCCGCTGTGACGTCACGCCGGAGCGCTCGCGCCGTCTCGGGACTCCGGTGTGATGCGGCGGAGCGGGTCCCGGTAAACATGAAGCGTTCCGCGGATTCGCGCTGATCCGACCCGGAGGATAACGGAGGAAACCGTCGGGAACGGACGCGTAAGTTCGCTTTCCATTCGTTTCTTCATGCGGTCACATGGTGACTCTGGTGGGTTATTTACCGAGACCGTTGAGATTTACGCTCATGCGAAGTTTCAAAGAGAGTTTTGTATTGACAGATCGCGCGAAGAGTTAAAGACACGTACAGATAGATAGGCTTGTCGGTGAAAGTTGTTTTGGGACGCTCCTCTTGCAACATATCCTGGCACACAGTGTGTGTGTTTACAAACGGATCAAACACTCGCTGGACTCCGGTGTACCGGGCTGTAACATCACCGGAGAGCCGTTAAAAGTGTTTTCATTCATCACAAGTTCAACTTCACGCAAAAATACAAACACGCAGAAGCCGTCAGGGACAGAGTCGCCAACAAAAATTATGCTGATGTGACCTTTGAGATGTTTGTGGTGGCACCCGTTCATCGGCTCTGTAGTGTGTGCCATCCCTTACGGAAATTAAACCATGGCTTAATTAGAGTAAAAGTGTAGTAACCGTGTTTTTTTAGCGCATTGATTTCTATTTGCATAACCACATGTTTACTACAAATACCATGGTTAAACTATGCTTAGTGTAGATAATTTGTGAGCATGGTTTTTTTGGTTTTATTTGTAGTAAAACCATGGTTAATGAAAGTATTATTAGAAGTATTCGAGATTGTGAAACACAAGAGTTTGCGAAAGTGACTTAAGTTTGGTAGCATTCGCGAATTCGTCTTTGAGCCGGGGCGGCATGCTTCACAACTCTTTATTGAAGGATATTTTGAAGTCCACCTCGTGGAGAAAACAAACGGGAAAAATACTTCGCAAACTTGCGTTGTCTTGATTTAGAATTATTTTTGCTAAACCGCCGTTATGTCTTCGAAACCCCTAGAATGCGTCACATAGAGACCGTTGCTCCGTGTTCGTATGTCTGGCGGCAGGTTAAATGTCAGCGCTTGTTTAACGCAAGAGTTTGCGAAAGCGACACTTCGTCATGTGGCCAAAATAAATAAATAAATAAAATAAATTTAGCGATAAACGTTTCGATGGACTGCGAGGTTATGGTGATGGAGCCGCAAGACGGTTTCGAAAAGAGTTTAATAGCCAAATCCGTAGCGTAGAACGTTTCTGTTGTGATTCTTGTTTCTATGGAAACGGCGAAAAGCGACGCTACGTCATGAGTTGACAAAATAACATGTTCTGGACATAGCCATTTTTTGACCAATGAGAGTGCGAGTCAGTCAGTCGGTTTTAGGCTTTTTGGAAATCTGGTCAATTCTGGACATAAAAATGGTTTTCGTTATAGAGATTTTTTAGTGATAATGTGTAAACATTTCCGGACCGATGCACCGCAGGAAATCTGGTCAATTCTGGACATAAAAATGGTTTTCGTTATAGAGGTTTTTTAGTGATAATGTGTAAACATTTCCGGACCGATGCACCGCAGGCTGTGAGATTTAGTGATGATTATATTTAGTAGAAGCCACAAGACTTCGTGCGATTTTAAAAAGTGTTTAATCGCCAAATTTGTAGTGTAGAAATTTCGTTCGCCAATTCTTGTTCCCATGGAAACAGCAAAATCGACACTGTCGTGTGGCCAAAAGTTGACAAAATAATACACTCCAAAATAATACAGTTCCAGGTTTTTGGAAATCAAGTCACTTCTGGATGCAAAAAAACCCCAAAACGCTCTTGTTATCGAGAAATAGATATTTTTTGCAATAATGCGCAAACCTTTCCTGACTGTGAGGTTTATGATGACAAGTATATTCGGTAGAAGCCGCAAGAATGTGTCATTTGAAAAAATGTTTAATCGCCTAATTAACGTAAAATTTTTGTCGCAATTCTTGTTTCCATGGAAACGGCGACCTCTCCAATCGGTCGGTCTCCCTTGTGGCCCTGATGTACTTGCAAAATCAAAGAACGAACTGGTGTGACATAATTCTGAATAAAAATACGCTAAATTAAGTTTGTTTTGGGAAACGAAAGCGAACTTTCCAGAAATGTTCGGAAAGCATACATTTACCTATTCACATCGTTGGGGTCAAAAGGTAATTTGCGCGTTCAGCGTTGCATCAATTAGAAAGTACTTACTACGTACTGCAGGAATAGTAGGGGAGTATTTTATTTTATTGACAAAATATTTTAGTTCGTCTTGTATATTTTTTCATGAGATCAGATAACAGTTTAAGCTGTCATATGGTAATGTTACAACGTGCCCCTCAGGTGTTACAATGTACCCCACCTACGGGGCATGTTGTCACATTTCGCTTCCGTGTTTTGAGCGTAAATAAAGAAAACGTATACACCGTAATTATGAAACAAAGCGACGTATTTGTACTCGACAAGTGCGAAATTACTGCGGATAAAAAAATATTATATTCTGAACCCTATGTGGATTTACGCAAACTGAGAAAGTCAAAAAGTGTTACGTTGTGCCGCGCGCTCCCCTATGCTTAGTGGTGACCTTTGACCCCGCACAGAAAGGCCTGGCGCTGCGTTGTGTAAATTCTGCGGCAGATTAAACATGCTGATCTGCTGCAGCGATGAAGGTTTTGGGGGGATCTGCAGTGTTTGAACAACACTCATTGATCCGCACACTGACCCACATAGCGCTCAGCTGACCAATCAGAGCGCGGGATG